AAATAGCTAATAATTTGAATAATACAAGCAGTATTAGTTTGTGTTGTGATCGAAGTAAATAGACCAATTTCAAATGTAGCTCATATAGATTTTAAACACGTGTAATGTCACTATTATAAAGTCATTAAGGCCTGTAACTATTTGAAGAATTGCAAAAATTTGTTGCAAGCTCTGTAACTCTTTCTGCAGGTTTTAAAGAGTAAATTATTCTAAAAAAATTTATGCTCTTAGCAGAAGGTATTGATAAATGGAGTTTCACTATGCAACTAAAATAATTCCCATCAATTTTTAAACTCCATTAGATAAAATCTGAGTGGAAATTTGATTCATTCCACACTCGTACATTCCCATTGTCTATAGTTACGATGGAGGAGAATGTGTTGCACGCTGAATCACTGGCTTAGCTCTTAAAATATCTGTATGCTTCATTCAGCCACCGCCAATTAAGTTCAGCGGATTGAGATAAGCCGTTAAGAGGGTGAATTAACTTGCAGCAGTTTAATGTTCGCATGCCTCAATGGAAAAAATTGCAAATTAATGCGAACTCGCGATTTTGCTTCGTTGAAATACGTTCTCAGGTTTTCAGATGGCGTACGTGACTAAAGCGTTTTCAGTGATGTCTGCACTACCGTTGGTTGTTGGTACTTGTACTTGTTGCCTCTAGAGAAACCAACTTATTCGCTTTTTCATTTTTGTTATTTTTATTTTTATATTTATTTATGTTTATTTTATTTTATTTTATTTCATTTCATTTCATTTGTTGCTCTGTATCTCTTCTGTTGCAGCATTCAATGCTGAATGCTTTCGGCGTTTCAATGTATCTGCAAATAAAATAGCGTAAACGATTTGTGTCATTTGTGCTGTGCCCATTTCCATTAGTAATAAAATGAATTTGATAGTTTGTAACACGCCATACATCATTGGGGATGAGAGATCCATAAACAGGTTGATGCCTTCTTAAGAAAATCACAATTAATTATTTTGCAACACTCGATCTACTGAATCGAATTTAATGCTCTTTTAAAGCAGAGCGACTGCGGTTTGCAGGGTTTTTGCGACAAGTACTTTGAATATGAAAAGAATCTTCATATGGCAAGCCAAGGTAAAGTTCTAATTATTTTTATATTTCACATACATATCTACATATACTACATGTAGATACCTTTGTGATGCCATAAAGTATGCTGTTACTAGGCCACATTTGATTATTGCAGTAAAAGAAATATGATAAAACTCTGTTTAAACCCCTGTCAACAGCGAGAGGCGACATGTATTAGATTTCATTGCGGGTATATTGACCTTATTTGGTTCTAAGAATTATGTGCAATTTCATACGTAACTAATAAAGATAATCATCGTATTTTTATCTTATCTCATACTGGATACATGTCTAGTCTTTAGAGTAAATGCTGCATGTTGTACTTGTACCTCTCAGGCTATTGAATTCGGGCAGAGGGAGATTGTATGAATTATAATTAACTTGTACTCTGGTTCCCCTGGAGATAAGACTTCTTTATCAAAGTCATGGCGATGTGTATTGTTTAATGGAAAGTTATATTTCACAGTTAGATTATAAAAATAGAAACCTGATAAGAACGTAAATTACGCTCAAATATGACGTCAAAACCTTATAAGTTAATTCATTGATAAATTTGTTTTTATCTAATTAGTTTATGAAAATTTGTTCGCCAATGCTGCGTGAGCATGTGCTTCAAAAGATTTTCAATCTGATGTAATTTATTGGCTTTTTTACAATTTTTGACAATGCAAAATGTTTATACAAAAAGTTATCAACATTTATAACAAGTTTACGATATTTTTATCAGACTTCGTAAGAGTATATAAGATTAGCGACTTTAAACAAGGTTAAGGTTTCAAATTTATTGGGTTCTTCGTTGTTTATGATTAATGATTTCGCAAATTTTGGTAAATGGTCAAACTTCAAAAACTGTCGATGAAAACATTTTAAAAGTCATGCAATATTTGTTAGGAAATTGTAGAAATCATTTCAAAATAATTATACTGACTTTGAGTTTGAACCGACAATTGATTTTACTACAGTTTTTATACCCTACAATAATTTCGTGGGACTAATGCTTTTAAAAGTAATGACTGAGTGGGTGCATATAATTGAAAGAAGATTTTAAAGGAAAAAAATGTTCATTGCATTTTAATTATTATTTAAATAATTTTTGAAAATAATATAAAATGTAGAATTAAACTAAAAAAAACTTATTATGCATAAAGCCAAAATTCTTTACATACTGTCTCCCATATATCTATTAGATTTACGTCTACTTTACATGTTTTGCAAATTTTAGCCCTTATAATAGAATAGAATAAAGTAGAATAGAATAGAATAGAATAGAATAGAATAGAATAGAATAGAATAGAATAGAATAGAATAGAATAGAATAGAATAGAATAGAATAGAATAGAATAGAATAGAATGAATAGAATAGAATAGAATAGAATAGAAAGATAGAATAGAATAGAATGATAGAATAGAATAGAATAAGAATAGAATAGAATAGAATAGAATAGAATAGAATAGAATAGAATAGATAGAATAGAATAGAATAGAAAGAATAGAATAGAATAGAATAGAATGAATAGAATAGAATAGAATAGAATAGAATAAAATAGAATAGAATAAAATAAATTAGAATAGAAGAGAATAGAATAAAATAGAATAGAATAGAATAGAATAGAATAGAATAGAATAGAATAGAATAGAATAGAATAGAATAGAATAAAATAAAATAAAATAGATAGATAGAATAGAAAGAATAAATAAATAGAATAGAAGAGAATAGAATAGAATAGAATAGAATAGAATAGAATAGAATAGAATAGAATAGAATAGAATAGAATAGAATAAATAGAATTGAATAGAATTGAATAGAATTGAATAGAATAGAATAGAATAGAATAGAATAGAATAGAATAGAATAGAATAGAATAGAATAGAATAGAATAGATAGTACATCTTTTGTGCCAACAACTGATCTAAACCGAAAAGAAGTTATTCAGCCTTTAAATGAATTTCAGAATGTCTGGCGGAAACTTAAGCTGCAGGTCAGTATTAGTTAGAGTACTTAATTAACTTGATATTATTAACTATATTATTAATATTCAAATTTTAATATACTATAAATACGAGGTCATTTTAATATATAAAGGCTGCCTTCACACTATGTTACATGATTACGCAGAACATCATATGAATCTTCATATGCTCTAATCAAGAATGGTGATACGAACCAGACACATAATAATAATAAAGTAATATAAGCATAATACTATGTATATGCATTTTTGCAGATACTGAGAAAACATTAAGATGTATGAAGAACATAAATTTGCAATTGTAATTATTCCTAACAAGTCGTCAAGTCTCCAATAAAGTACTTAAAATTTGTTCGTCCCATTAGCCTAAACTAGACAATCACACAAAAAATGCATAATTCTTAATTTTTTATAAAAGGTTTCGCATCTTCTACAATAACTAAACTACAATAAAACGAATGCATATGTTAGTTGCTCTGCGAGGACTCGTATATAGCAATGGTCTGAAAGAAATTGAATTTGTCAAGCAGTATTGATCCCGTTCTTGTTTATAGTTTCCAGGTTCTAATGTCATTGTGTCAAACTCTGCAAATGATTTGTATAATATTTTTGATTTGGGATACAATACTTTTAACAAAGAAGAGTGCAGTGTATTATTAAGACCATCATCATTATTTTATTGCTCTTTTTCTGCACGTACATAAAAATTTAAATACAATATTTCCATTTATAATGACTAAGTTATTGGTTTGATTATGTGATTTAACTCTATAAAAAACACTTGGAAGTAAAGTACTTTATCAGTATCGATTACTTTGAACATGTGTTCAATATAATTTCAGATATAGATTTTATGAAACTTTTGAGTCATTTTTATTCAAATACGTGCAAATGTGCATGCACGACAAATAGATCTTGCAGCTTCTTTCTAACTTGTAATTTTATAATATATCTATTTAAGATAGACTTCTCAACATTTACAGCATTCAATATTATACCCATTCCTCATGTGTCTCAACATATGACAGGGTCCGGTGCTGATAGCTGTTAAAATTTAAATTTTAACACCACTTAGGGGGTTACCTAGGCTAGAAGACTTTAGTAGATGAACATGTCGCTTTACTGTTCTATCGGTATTAGAAAACAAATATTTAAAATTAGGTTGAGAGTTTGCTGAAAGTTCATATTTCTTTTCTGGAACAATCAGTGTAAATCTAATACAATAGTTGAATTATCAATAGTTTGTCCTCAGGTTGCTTGCATGTGAGTCCTACAGTTACTATGTTATTGCCAATCATATCTTGCGTTTAATATGGATCGTAATAAAATCAATGATAACCTGACAAAGAACATTCGGCTCATAAATTTTTAATATCTTTAAAAGTCGTTCATTTATGAAGAGACGATATTTTATTGTAAATAAATAATTTTCCAACTGTGTTGAGCTTTCGTTTTTATTTTTTTTTGTTCAATTTTTCTACCCATAAAATTAACAATAAAAACATTTTAAAATGTCTCGAAAATTTTATGAATAATAATTAATTTTTTATCTTTTAGAATTTTGTTAACATTTGCCAGTTTACCGCTAAAATTATTCAACAATCGTATTAGTGTTTATTCAAAATAATGCCAAATCGCATATGATTTGTTAATAATTATTAAAAAATATTATTCCTAAAACATTTTGTTGTTATTTATTTTTAATTTGCGTATAGCTTCCAATTTTATTATTAAAAATAAAAAGAATGAAAGAACTGTCACTTAAGTAGTTGTAGATAAAATTAAATAATTTAACTTAATTGTTTTTGTTGGAATTTATTGTTTATATTCTAATACTAAGATCGTTCGATGTTGAAATTTTTAAAATGAAATTAAAAGATCTGACTTATATGCAAATCTCAAGTATACCAAATTAAAACTATGCATTCAATATGAAAGATCAAAAGACCGATTTTAGTACAGGTGTAGTAGGTAGAATAACAATCATCTATAACAGATAATTAAATTTTTCTTTATTTTTTACATATACTTTATAGATGAAGGTATAGATAAACATTTTATAAAAATTATTGCAGTTTAGTTGGATTTTATTGAAAGTTATTGTTTGGAAGAAAGTTATAAATTTATTTTCGTAACCAAGAAGTGCTTATGTGCCCTGGTCCGTATACATGGAACATACCTATAGGTAATGTAATGTTTACCATATGTACTTACTTCCGTAATCAGTTAAAGAAGATTTTAGGCTGATATAATTGAAAATTATTCTCTTTGGTTTCAAAATAATAAAAATTTGTGCCTTGAACCTTTCTCCTTGCTTTCAATATCTTTCCATGTATAGCTTGTTTTGAAATAATTAATATATAGATTTCAATAAGACTGTAGGACGATTTTTGACCCTAACGGACCTATAATGGAACAATATATCGACGCAGTTCTGTATTTTATAGCAGTCAATTATTTGTAATGCAAATGAGCTTACCAGTTAAAATGTCACAGGAACAGTTTCGAAACATCGGAATAATCTAGGTATATCGTTAGATATAGAAGATTGAATGTTATATTCGATAATTTTTCCCTCAGCTGTTTAGAACATGCTGTTCATACGTAGTTGAGATTTAATATAGGTACATGCTAGACTTTACTTTACAAAAATATCTCTTAGTTCGAATACTCATCAATCTTAATGTTATTTAAATATTTAATACATTAGGCTAACAATAGATCCATAGGAACATCGTGTTACCACTTGAGCTTCCAATATTTACATCAATTGATATATAATTCATATATACTGAATTGTGAAAATAAATAATTCGATTTTTTAATTATTTTCACATTCAATCTATAAATAATTGTATTTAATCTTTGACTTGCTAACTTTTTAAAAAAACTAATGAAATATTTATCTATAAATTAAATATTAATAATAATACCAAAATAATCTCTTTTTACTTTGTCTAACCCGTTTATTGCCGTCGAAGGTACTTAAATAATAATGAATAATAATATTAGTATATGAACTTTCATAACTTTTTAAGACCGAAAGGATATGTCTGCCTTGCGATAAATTTGTATCAAAAACCCACAGCTAAGAATATTTTTACAATTACAATGATTCAAAACAAAAAATGTTCGGCTAACGTTATTTCTAATGGTTTTTCCAATCAAAAAAAAATAATTGATCGTAATAATAATCGTCATATATATAAAATTAGTAATTTTTTCGTGAAGTATGATTCATGGGCCAAAGTCTTTAAACTGTGATGAATCACAAAAAATTTAGTCTATGCTAAATTTTAAATCTTAAATATTAATGTTATTTATTAGGAAAAAATATTGAAAATAATTTGATAATAATTAATAAAATTGGGTTACAATTTCTTTATGTTATTTTAGGTTTACGCCTCACTCTTTAAACCGTTACGTGTCACAAGGCATCAATTTAAGAAGATTTTAAATTGTATGAAACTGATACGTTCCCTTAAATATCAGGAAGTTTATGCTCAAGAAAAAGTCACTAAAGTGGACAGTCTATCATTAGTGCTATCTGGCAAGTAAGTAATAAATCAAGTAAATCTATTTTTTAACACTATAAAGATAAATATTTTTTTATATTAATATTTGTATAATTACAGATTAGTTGTTTCACAAAATCAACGAGCATTACATATAGTGTTTCCTCATCAGTTCCTAGATTCACCGGAATGGTTTGGTGTTTCTACCGACGATTATTTTCAGGTGTGTAACATTTTATTAAGTTCTACATAATTATTTTAAATGTGTTAATTGATATACAATGAAGGTATCCATAATGGCTATGGAAGAATCGCGTGTGTTAATTTGGCATCGTGACAAGTTAAAATTATCCATTATGGCAGAACCATTTCTGCAATCAGTATTCGATCATATACTAGGACGAGATGTAGTTAAGAAATTGATGCAAGTGACACAGGTAGGTAAAAATTAGTTAATAAAACTTTTTTTGTTATATAAAAAGAGAAAATGATTATGTACAAAAATAATTTTTTAAAAAAAGTATGGTATTCACTTGATGTTGATGGTATTGATTGGTGTGAAGAGAAATCGAATTATTTTTTTTTAATGACAAAAAGCTGCTGATATTGTATTTGAACAAAATTCGACATCAAATTATATTTTTCTTAGAATATTTAACATTTAATTTAATAATATTCTATATATTATTTGTTATCATAAATCGAACATAAGAAATATTGTTACTCTACGAGCTAGTCTGGTGTCTAGAATCTAGCATATCGATTAATTTTAGAAAAGTATTTTCAAAATTAATAGATTATAATCTTTTCCGACAGTAGAGCAGATTTTTCGTGGTATATAACGACAGTATAAAATTAAAGCTAAGTATTACAAAATTCAGTTTGTAATTCAGGTCAGTGAAATAAAATTGTGGAAAAAATAGTCACAAAGTAATTAGAAGACTCTTCCAAAACAAAACTCCAATGTACGTGGTTGGGATTGGTTATGAATATTAGAATTTCATATCAGAGCGTGTTGTTACAAAAACCAACCATCATAATTGAGTAATTCATATCGATTTATTATATATATTATAATTTTACAACTGTTGTTTCGATTTTAGGTAAATAAAGTAATGAAAATTAAAGGTAGTGTATGAGAAAAGGATGGGAAGATTAACTTAAATTCAATAAAAACTTGATGAATATTATTACCTTAAATAGACATGCAGATTTGTATGCATAACGAGACAATTAAACAGTTAGGTGAGATTATAATGTATAGATCTGTAGCTTGAACACATGTTCGAAATAAGCTGACTTTGTTCGTAATTAGTATATGTTTAATAGGTGGATGAGCCTTGATCATGAAATTTGACAACATAATTCCTGGTGCTTCAGGTAGTACATATTTTTTTTTTCTAAAAGATGATAGACTGAACTTTATAATATTAAGAAAAAAATAACACTGAGCTCAAAAGTTATACTACAGTAGTTTTTATATTCTTAGATTAATAAATAATACGTAGATAATATAAGAATCGATTGTTAAAATATATTAAATGTCATTCGCTAGTAGTGCCGTAAAAAACCTTGGGTTTAATTGTAGTTGTTCAAGTATCGTTAAGTTTTTAAATCTATATTATATGTATATTAGTATAACAGTAATACCAAATGCTATTAGCTGCAGTTGTTCAAGTGTCGTTAAAAAATCAAACCCCTATATTATATGTATATTAGTATAACAGTAATACCAATTATAATAAGTATTTATTATTTTTTTTCTTTTTCTTTGCTTCAGGTTAGCGAGTCAATTGCAAGCAACGGATTCCTGCCTTCAGGTGGCTATGACGATGGCGAAGATAAACCTATGCTTATAATGAAGAAAAGTGTGGAGGGTCATGGTTTAACAGCTTTAATTAATAGGCAATTACAAGGTATGTCGTGATCCCCGCAATCACTTCTCGTTTCGTATTCGTTATCATTTAAATGCATTGTTACATCACGTATTCATTAAAAAAGTAATTTTTGTCGTTACTGTTAATTTGTGTAAATGCTGATGTGCGCAAGCTTTAAATTTGTTAATAAAACTTGTATGAATGTTTTTAATATACTTGCTTTCCATTAAAAGCATGTAAATTTATGCTATTTTCGTGTATGTGCTATTAATTTTTTAAGAACGACTTAACTTGTTGATGAAAAATA